CCTCCCTCTTCTCCTCTCCTCTCCTCCCTCCCTCCCCAATCATATAACCAATGACTATACATTCTGAAGTAATATTTGTTTCAGGTATTTGATGTGACTGCCAGTAACTCTGGTCTGCTTAACCCAAGGCTCAATCTGGATCCGCCACAACAGTGGGGCCTTGATTTACGATGGTAATCCGTTCCCAGAGACGGATCGTAAGTCGAAATATCGTAAGTCGAAGCGATTTTTCCCATAAGAAATAAAGGGAATTGAATTAATCCGTTCCCCACCCTCCAAAATATTAACTTACAAATACATTTTATACTGAATACAATTTTTTTCTCTAACTACAATACAGTACATATGTTTATCTTACCTTTATGGAGGACTCTTGATGGCATATGGAAGATGGTGAGGAGGGGGGAGGAGGAGAGGTGTTACTGTTTGGAAGGGGAGTCCCCTTCCATTATAACATCAGGCAGTGAGGACTTCTCTGGGGTACACACTCTGGCACGTTTTGCCTGCATACCACTAGGACCTGCTTCTGACTCACTGCTTGATTTTCTCACTAAAAATCGTTCCATTGAAGATTGTTTTTCCCCTTCTTTCCAACACTTGTCTGTAATGAGGCATCACATTGTCATTAAAAAGTTCAATGCAACAAGCTGTTACAGCTTTATCTGGGTGATTCTTTTCAGCAAAACTTTGCAGTCCTCCCCATACTGCACAAATTTTCCTAATTAATGAGGAAGGGACATCCTCTAATGCCGCCGCCTCCTCCTCCTCCTCCTCTGAAGATTTAATGTACTGCCTAGCTAGTTCAACAACACTAGTACCATTTTCATGTTTACGTATGATCTCTTGTTTGTCCTCTATGGTCATTCTTACATGTGTTTTCATATGTTAAACCTTACCACTGACTATTTTGGGACCCATGGCGTGATATATAATAATCAGTTTTATGTTCAAAAAGCAAAAAATCACCACAAAAACGGAATTTCTTATAGGCGTGATCCTCATTAAGCGGGTAGCTCTATTAAACTGAGGCAGGTCGGCTCGCGTGACCAGGAACCACACGCTTGGTCGACCCAAACGTGTACCAACAAATATCATTAGTCGACGACACTATCATAAGTCAAGTAACATTTTTCGATCAAATTTAAATCGTAACTTGAAATTATCGTAAGTCGGGGCAATCGTAAGCCGAGGTGCCACTGTGAGCTACGACAGGGTTTAAAAAGAGTTGAAACTGAAGTTCTACTGAACTTAATGGATCCCATAGCCTCTCCGAGGCACAAACAGGGGCTACGGGATCCAGTAAGTTCAGTAGAACTTCGGTTTCAACTCTTTTAACCCTGTCGTAGCTCAGTCGATTATGGGATTGTCTGGGATGCTCCTGGACGCAGGTTCTAATCCTCGTCACGGCCCTTGTGGATTTGTTCATTTGATGCATCACGTTAGTGTGATTTCTGTGTGTTATAAAGCCTAAAGTCAGCCAAGTTACTTGTCAGCGCGCAAAATCAGTAAAATGTATATACTCTCTTCAGTTTTCTCGCCTTTATTTCTCGTGCTACATCATTCATTTTGGTATCATTGTGTTCACAATAGAATTCTCTATAGGGGTATATGCATATAAGATCTAAAAGCCCGGAGCGAGTCCCACAGCAAAGCCTAAAGTCGGCCAAGTTACCCGTGAACGAACACCAATTGGCACACCTGCAGACTAATGTATATACTCGTTCAGTTTGATAACATAATTTTCGTGCTACGTCTTTCATTTTGGTATCAAATTGTGTGCAATCTAAAGGCGCTCATTTTGAAACCACCTAGAAGTTGATCGGATGAAAATTTAACTTTTTACAAATATTTTAGTTTATGACGAGTGAGATAGTCATCGGATTACATTAAGGAGAAAAACTTATGACGATAATAGGAGGGCTCAGAGTGCGATAGTGTTAAACACTTTTTCTGAAGCACTGGGAAAGTCCAATGCCATTTAGGACACCCTTTGTTGATGCAAAAGACCTTTGTCATCAGATTTCCCACTGGAGGCATTGCAGAGTGCTGGTGAAAGAAGATTTACAAGTTAAAAACATTTGATAACCCATGACATGTAGATATTGTTATAATGAAAATCCAAACCCACATCTAACTCTAAATGCCTAAACCCCTACCTAAGTAAAAGAGGACACTGATGAAAAATAGGACGGGGGGGTCATATTAATCTTGCTAGTATATCGTAAGAGTTAAAAGTCCCATGGGTACACAGGGCTCACATCCAGTTACTTAGGACTCTAGTAAGCAGACACCATATTGAAAACAATAGTCTACCTCCCTCCTGGCTGTGACAGTCTCAGAACTACCAGAGCGACCAAGGCTGATGCATGCAGCTGGAGCTCAAAGCACCACTTGATTGTGATGAATAAAATTAGGAAATGCCATTATTTTGAAGTGATAATATCATAGATGATCCTGACTGCGATAAAGACTATATACAACATTCAGATATCGGTAAATACAATGCTAGTTGTGATGTTCAGTGTGAGGTAAGAGAGACAGCATCTGGCCAATTTTGTATGCATCTATGCATCATGAAATGACCTCATGCTTTTTTACAATATAACCTTGTGGAAATGGATTCATAGTTAGGATTTACTGACAGGAATGTAATAACAACAGTAGTTCTGTGACTAATCTCAGCAATGTGCATAGTACAGTATATTGGAAGCATTTTCTAGCAAAATGGTGACATCTGCTGGTGTTATCTGCTTGTATCATGTGGTGCCATTGTGTGTTTTGATTTCACCACCACACCCACCAAAACTTTATTGGTTCATTATTGTGCATAAAAATATTGATATACTGTATGTGATTGTGTATATAGCGTATTAAGAGCAAAATCTGTTTTAGTGTTCAAAGAATAATATTTGAACTTGTATTAGTATGTGAAATGAATACTGTATATCTCTTTGAGTACCAATATTCTACATGTATTGTGGTACAATTTTATTGACAGCCCATTGCATCATTATACTTGAAAAAACCCTGTAAAAACATTTAAAATACGATATATTCAATGCATTCTGTTATTTCATCTAAACAATGCAGGACCAAGCTGAACTGGTTATAAGGTTACTGTATTCATTAGAAACGCTTTATGTTCGTAATGGTGCATAAAAATGTAGAGTTATACTTGTGTGTGTGTGTATATAATGTAATAATGGTAAAAACATAGAATTTTACTGTTCTAAAATATAATGTGCATGGCTAAGATATGTGCACCATATTTTTTACCATAATGATTTTCCACACACTTGCTTATATAAATTTCTCGAATTACAGTACACAATATCAAATAATATTATGTTGGAAAAAAAAAGAAATAATTATGTAAAATTATATTCATGGCAAGTCCCACAGTCAAGGAGCTGCTGGGGCTGCCGTCGCCAGGCAAATACTCAACGCCCATAAATTACTCAACTTCCCTGCTCCATCAGTAAATAATTGTATGTCACATACAATTATTATTACTTTTTTTAAGTTTCCCCATGATTGGAAATGCACTTTAGCAATACAGCTGTATTGGAAAAAATTTGGACTAATTTATTTTACGCCCACACGTTACTTGTCATATTAAGCTAACGCGCAGTAGTGTGTTTAAAGTCAAGAGGACTGGGTCGAACATTACCCAATTTGGAAAATTGTAAGGCACACAGTCTCATTTTATTGCATTCAGGGGTGTTTTTTCATAAATTCACCACTATCATAGCTCTGTCAGAGTTAATATTGCGTAGGAAGCATTTATAATTTCACTGATTTGTGCAACTTTATGAAATCTGTTGGCACGAAACTACTTGAAACGTAGACTTTTGTTTTAATTATATTTTTTATCTTAATTTTTAGTTTGACACAAAATCCAACAAACTTGGTGATTGCCAAAAAAGGGGTAATTATGTATAAATACAGATTATTTCTGAATCCGAAAGGGGTCACAAAGTATGTAATCTCAATTTTGGAGGGCCTATTGTACATAAAACAATTGAGTACTCACCAGGAGTTGAAATGTTGCTCCACGTACAGTCTTGGAATTATGTCTGTTATTATTATTTATGCCAATTGGTAGTTGAGGTAGTCTTTGGTGAATTTGAAGTTTCAACAGAGAAATTAGGAGGGAAGGTGCTGAAGTTCCATTAAGCCGAGACCACCTTCCTCTGCATAGTTTACGTGCCAGAAATATACCCTGAAACAATATAAATGACCTTAGTCGGTGTGCCTAGGTAAACATTTAAAAATCATATAATTTTGACCAGGTCTTCTGGCCTTCAAAGCAAACTCCTTGAGATGGAAAAATACTACGAGTGTTGGTGGGAGAATCAGATATGATCTTTTACAGTTTGTGCATAAATCTGCAATTATGCTTCCTTCAAACCCTAATGCTTGCACCTCATTTCCATTTTTATAATTTGTTTACAGAATTAAAGTATGTTATGCAGGTTTGAGAGATACACATGTTGTAGACAAAATGCTGTGTGTGTGTCTGTCTCATGTAGTCATTATCTATGATGATTATTGGTAAATATGAAAATAGCATTCATTTTCCTAATTTAAAATGTAATTTCATCCATCCAAAAAACAAAAATCAATGTAGGCAAAAAGACCCTAAATTATTTTTTGCCTGCAGTTGGTGAGTAAAATATATAAAACAATTCTTTGCCAAATATGCTTATTTGTTGTGGTTATAATGATACTGTACTCTTAAAACCAAACTACCATTGGCACCACTTGTTTTTATTCTTATCTTTCTCGATGATGTGTACTTAATGACAGGTCAGTACACAACATTGTCAACATTCTTTACTTTTATCTGACTGCATTTTTCTCCTACAATGCTTTTTACTTACAAGTATAACTAAGCACAGTGACTGCCTAGGAAGAGGCTAAGTCCAAGTGATACACCCTAAACCCAATAGAGCTTTACCTGATTAACTTGTACATTATTTATATCCTTTTAAATTTTTTATTTAGTGGTTTTATTTTAGGTTGTCGAGCTGGAATGATAAAGATGTGGTCTGTTGAAAGCTGCCAGCTAATAGGGGAATTACGAGCACATGCATCTCCCATTAATGCAATCACTACCAATTCAACATGCATCTTTTCGGCTTCAAAGTAAGTAGGGATGTTATTATATTGTATATTAACTATAGAATAATAACTCATTAAATGAATGCTAAGTGGTAAAGTAGGTAGGTGGTTATTAAATTTTTGTAACAGATTACTAACAGTGGCAGTGAACCAAACAAAATCCAGCTTGCGTGCAGTTCAGAATTTGGTGCCACAAGGTAGTCCTCACACTATTACTCTTCTCATCTCTATCCCTATTCCTATAGAGGACATAGACAGAAATACAAGTAAAGTGTTTCATGACATCCTTCGCTGACACCAGAATATCAAACAGTATTGTTTATTTTCAAACAAGAAAAAATAATAGCATTTCACATCTACTATTTTGAGGAAGACAATGTACAAGTTGTTGTTATTATAGTCTAATTCAGACAAGGTTAATTTCATTAACAGCAAATAATGTATGGAGGTTGGGAAGGGGTGGAAAAACCTTTATAATGATTAGCCTCTTACAAAATCAAAGTATTTTATACCCAAATCCAGTTTTCTTCTCATTTAATGGAATGAATGGAATGCCATTTACTCAATAGATGCAACAAATCTTTGGTCTTAAGAGTTGGCTTATACATTTGTGTTTACCTATGAACCTATGTAGAGTACTAATATGTGGAAGTGCAGGAAAATTATTCTGTACCAGCATAATAGTCATAATGTTTCTGTACGGCTTCTTTCATTATCACAATTTGTTGGCCTAGATTTTAAACAGGCTTAGTGTGTGTGCATTAGTGATTACCTAATAATGTCTATTGGGAATGAGTGACACATTTAAGTCCAGCCTCCTAGCTATTTGTACATTGTGTTTATAAATTTCATGATGTTCAAGTTTACTCTTATGAATTGTATACAAAATGTTATGGAGGGGAAAATTAGAAACATATAAGGAGGATGCCCATTATAATGCCTACATTTAAATGTCATTTCTCTTTGAAGTGATTATGATTTTTTTTGTTTTTTTTCATTTTACATCTTCAAAAATAAATTAATTTATTATAAAATATCTTGTGCACATAAGTGATGAATTTTAGGAAGTTTGTGACTTGTATATGGAAGCTAGGCACAGTACATTTCTTGCCAGGAAGATAATTATATATTTGATTAGTACAATTAAAGTCAGTGTTAGATTAAGTTTTGCATAGTTAATTCATTTCATAGCCTTAATTGGTCATAGACGAGAATATATTGTCTTGACGTTTAATGTAACATTGAAAATGTCAAACATTGCTTGTCACTAATTTATCCCAACTCATATAATTTTCCATACTATTAAAAGCAATAAAAGAGGATACAATACTTTTGATAAGCTTGCCTTTTTTAACCAGAGGCAGGAAACATTTCTCTTACTCTACAATGCACTATTAACTTTCATTTTAATTACTGTATGCTCTGTCTTGCTGCCCCCCATCAGTGAGGGAGACATTCGGGTGTGGAGACCCCTAGTGGGTGTAGCTGCTGGCACAACTTTTGAACTTTCACTCTAAACGTACCCTGAGCTCCAGCGTGGAAAAGTGAAGTAATTCCTTAGTGTGCATGACAGTGTGAAAATAAAAAATTAGCCTTGACCTGTTTTTACACATCATTATGTACCTTCCCCTGTTTTATTAATACAGTACTTATTTTTAATGCAAGTAGTCAGATGATCCAAGTCATCTTTAGTGTTGAAGTATTCAATTATTAGAGAACTTGAGATACATAATAGTAACCCTTTGTTATGCAGTAACATGAATTCATATTTAAGGCCTTGGACTGTTTAAAATATATCTATGTGTACACCGAGATGTTTTGTGTATCCTCCATCTGCTAGCTAAGCTAATTCCTTATTTGTTATCCTGCCCAGTGAAAAGTATGCTTGTTATTTCTTGTTACGGTCTTGTTATCAAGAGAAGGTCGGTTTTGTTAACCATGCTTGTTATTTCATTTTAGTAGCAACATCCCTAGTTTCTGTATATTTTAATTCATGTGTAACTATACTCGAGTGATCGTCAGTCTTTATGAAAACATGTCAAAGATGATTGTTGAAAGTGCATTACATTGTTTTAAAACACAAGTGGACTTCCCATGATGAATTTCTCCATATTATGTATAGCAACTTTTAACATTTTGTTTTTAAATATTTACCATCAGCAAATCAACACACTGAAATGCTTTTGATTTGCTTTTACATGGAAAATATTTTTGTAGTAAATTATTTAGCCTGGCCACGTTTTTCTAGCTTTAGATAAAATATTATTGTGCTTTGCATGCATGAGATCCATAATACATGCATCTATAAAGAGCTAACATAACATTCTAATCATCTTTGTATGGCAGATACATATTGCTGTTCTAAAAAAAAAAAAATTAGGCAACAATGCAAAATTATTGATGTACAAGTTTTCACAATTTTAAACCAATACAGCAATCTATAGATCAAGGAGTTCTACACTTACGTTTAAGCAACATTATTAATGTGACAGCTCTCGGCTTATCAGTGAAACACATGGTGAAAGGCTTATACTATGGGAATTTAGGTGTTATAACATGAAAGACATTGATACCACTTAGGAGGTGAGCTTGCTTGTGCCTATAGGAAGTGAGCTCTAACTCATGGGCCTTTCCCCTTAACTATTGTAACTTGTGGATTTATACTTTAATGTTCTGGTAAAATCTTACTTCACAAGGAAGGTTATTCATATCAATCTGAAATAATAGGAGCCAAAGGACTGAGCCTGTAGGATCTGGTTAACGATTTTGGTACTGTGGGGACAACATAAAATATTTTTAGTCTTAAGATGAAATTCACAGAACCATGTAAGTTTTATTTATATGGTCATTAATATGTCTTTTAATGAATTTGTTGGCAAGAAAATAAAATAAGTTTATGGTTTAATGTCTTGTACAATGCAACATGTATTATTGGCTTAAGGGCTACATTGTGTTTGATGCAAATCATTTCTAATTCAAAGCCACAGATAACAAATGACATCTAATTAGTTAAGTGAAAATAGTGTATCAATGTCTTATTTATACCAATTAGACTTAGTTTTATCCATCCAGTGCTGTGGATGGATAAAACAGTGCTGTGTATTTACATCTTTAAAGCTTGTAATTTGAACAAGTTTTTAGTCAACAAAAATTCACATATAAGATAAATTGCCTTTAATGGGATGGAATGTGTATTTTTATATTTTACTTTAGTTCAAGACAAAAAGCAACCAAATTTTTATATTGTAACATTATAGTTGTGAGGTAAATTGTAATTTATAGTTAACTCCTTAGATTTGTGAACATTTTATATGAAATAATATATGGATCTATTTACAGTGACTGCACAATTGGCATGTGGAGAATGAGGACCAGTTATGATGTTTCTCCAGAGTTGTCAGACGCCTCATGACCTGATGCTGCTTCCAAATACTAAATGGATGTTTTAATAATTTGTAATTAAACACATTTCCAAGGAAATTTTGTTTTTTCTGAAGGAAAATTCTAGAAGATCTTTATGGTCCCTTACATGAGGCTTAGAAACTTGGGTTCACAAATAATGACTTATACTATTGTGTGAACAGGAAAATGTTATTTATTTTTTATTGTGAAATTGAATAAAAATAGATTTAAGATATATACAGCTGTCTTAAGTAAATTTTAGCTTCAAAATGCCTTTAGTATTTTGATGTACAATAATATATACAGAAACAAAAGAATAAAATTAAATACAGTATTTTCTTAAGTAATACAGCATATCCTCTAAATATAAATTTAACAATATTTGAATCCATTGAGTACCAGTATGAAGGTGCATCTATCAATATTTTTTAAAATATGAATTCAGTGTAGAAAATCAAAAGAACAAAAAATAGGGTCATCATTGGGATAGGGTTTTAAATGCTTTTATATGCATTTTATGTAAAATTTTAAAATCTTGTTGAGTGGAGATGCTAGTGGTGGGTTTGTAGAGCAACTTAAAGAATTAAAAGATCTGAACATAATCTCCAGATGAACATCTTATCATGAGTTGAATACTATTAATTAATTGATGAAGTTTGTTGTCACGTAGGCGTACCTCCAAAATCCAGATTCAATCTAAATTTATGTGAAATCCATATTGACAGAAATTTGCTCTTTTTGGGCTCAAAAAGCCCAAAAAGTAGACTTTTTTTTCAGACAAGGCAGGCAAATTTGTTCAAATTTGCTCTTTGACAAAAAAATGTCAAATTTGTTTTTCATAGGAGGTGATACAAAATTCTGTTATGCATATTTAGACAAATATATAGATTATTTTTTGTGCATAATTATACACACAAAACTGTAGTGAAAAATTTACTGATTTACATTTTTTTGTAGCATAGGATGGTGGTCTCGATTACACAGGTAGCAAAAGGTCGATATGGCGCTATATCACGTTGACTTAAACGTCAGCAGTCACTTGGATTTGGTCTTTTATGTCATCAATGTCCATGATTCATGCCATTTTCACAAATACAGACTAACTATTCACTTTAGGCTACATTGCTGCAAAATAAAAAATCATTGGTATGCGACAGCATTTAAATCCTTATGCTTAGATTTCAATGCTTTTGTCATCTCTTTCCACCGCCACTCTTATTTTATTCAGAAACTTCCTAAATAGTCTTCCTGGCTTGGTGCCTTCTTTTGATGGTAAAGAAGCTCATCTGATCTCATCCTTGTCTAATCTACCCCATATTACTCTGGCAACTTAACACTTTCGTGCTTTGGGCGAGCGAGCGCCAGACCACCCCCGAAGGTGGGCCGGGCATTTCACGTGAGCGCGCGGTAATACTGAAAAGCGTATACTCTTTTTCAATTTTGTCACCTCAATTCTCCTAGGTTTTTCATTTTGGTATCAATGTGTTTGCAATAGTTCCCTACATGAGTATATGCATATGAAGTTCAAACGCCTGGCGTACCACCTGCCCCAAACCGAGAAATTGGCCGCACGTTACCCGTGAGCGCGCAAGAGCGATAAAATGTGTATACTCTTTTCACTTTGGTCACCTCAATTCTCATCCTAGGTCTTTCATTTTGGTATCAATGTGTTCGCAATAGAATTCCCTTCAGAAGTATATGCATATAATGTCTTAAGACCCCAGTGTGCCACAGCCAAGCCGAAAGCAGGCCATGCGTTACCCGTGAGCGAACACGCACTACACCCCCATATCCCGCTCACCAATGTTTAGTATCTATTTCCGGCTGATAACATCAATTTTTGTGTTACAGCGAACATTTTGGTATCAAATTGTTCCCAATGGGATGCTTTAAAGTGATATATGCATATACGGGCATGAAATATAAGGGCACAAAATATAATTTCAGCAAACTTTGTGTAAGAAATAATTGTACAAATCCCAGAGGAGTGCTAGGTACAGGACAGGTGAAGCCTGGTATTTCTATAAAACTGTCTACAAAGGGTGGAGTATTGTCAGTAGACTAGGCTCCATCAGAACTTGGTGGGGGTACGTTTGGTACCCGCGGTATGAGTTCCAATACCACGCCGTGCACTGTGGCAGTATAAACATCATAATCCTTGCTCCCCCCTCACTTTCAATTTCATCATCATCTGGTGTTTCCGTTTCAATAAATTCACTATCTAAAACAATGTCACTATCAGCACTTTCTATATCAGATAAATCACATATAGCCTACTGTACTTTTGGTGTACTGTACAGTAAGAAATATAGCTGAGTAAAATAGTTGGAACGTTCACACGTTTGGGATGCGAGGGAAGGCAGGAGTGGTCACTAGCATGGGATGATAACAATGGGCCTACCTCCTGGATTGCGCTTCTTTGTTGCCACATGGGCCCTCACAGAAAATGGAAAGATGTTGGTGCCAATTTTAAAACCAGTCCCCCAAAAATCAGATAAAAACCTGAATTTTAGCAAATTTTAAAATCTTTTACATCATTCCGTCATATTCATCTAATCAATTTTTGACGCCATACTGCATCGTCCCCACGCGAAAATGTTAACATGCAGAGAATATACATGAACAAAAGCTAAAGGACATGTTTAATAAAAGATCAGACCACACTCACAGGAAAAACTTATGGTTGGTACAAAAGATTTGGATGCTCCAGAAAAAAGTTGCAAACTTGTTTGTGCAATGTGTAGTACAGTACAAGCTTAGTTGAACATTATAAAATATATTAGCATTATCTTGAAAAATATTTATGAATGGAAAAGCAAGATGAAAACAAAAATGATAAAAATTATGTTGTGATGAAACAAAAATCTGGATTTTAATTTGTCCTCTCATAACTTTTTTTTTTTTTTTTTTTTAATTCCAAATTTCAGAGAGAATTCAATGTGCAAATTTGTTTCGTTGTTTAGGGAGATATGTTATAGGGCAGTCTGGATTTGGGAGGATGCATCTTTATGTTCTTGGAAGTTAAAGTACTGTACTGTGTAAAAATCATATCAAAGGACAAATATTTTCTATTGGAAATTTATTTATGACTAATTCGTAATTGTGTAAAAATTATAAAAAGTACCTCTGTACAGTACCATAATTCAAAGTATAGTTCATTTTAAGGTGTCATAAATTTGCCATATTATATTTCAGAGACTGATTCAAACCACACTAATTTTAAGTTTGGCAGGTTTTATGGTAATTATGGCTAAATTAAAATTACCATTATCATACTACCAGTATTAAAATTTTATGATAAATTGCTAGTAATTTTATTACTGAATGGCCATTATCTATTTCTGTAAGTGCTTTACACAGGAAGGATAGTTCTTCATATTTATTTTTATATATATATATATATATATATATATATATATATATATATATATATATATATATATACACACGCACACACACACACCAACCCGTTCTCGCAAATTTAATAAGTCAATATTGACTTATTAGTTGCGTGCATAGGTGACATACTAAACATAATAGTTTCCCTTGAAAAGCTTCATAGAAAACACCGACCTTACCTAACCTACTTAGTATGTTAAAATAAGCATCTTATAGCTTCGTAATTACAATTGTTACTTAACCTATTATAGGTATAGGTTAGGTAATAATTGTAATTACGAAGCAATAAGATGCTTATCTTAACATACTAAGTAGGTTAGGTAAGGTCAGTGTTTTCTATGAAGCTTTTCAAGGGAAACTATTATGTTAAGTATGTCACCTATGCACATATTTAATAAGTCAATATTGACTTATTAAATTTGCGAGAACGGGTTGCACACACACACTATTTTTTTTTTTTTGTTTTTTTTTTTTTTGGCATAAGGATCTTGACCAAGTGATACATTGATCACTAAAGAAATAAACATTCCCGTCTTTGCCATTCCATTATTCTGAGTTGCAGGTTGTGAGCCCTATTTCAGATAATGGTTTTGAAGTATGGCAGTTTTGATCATATGAACATACAGTAAAGGATGTAATTTCCAAATGCCAAATATTATTTTTAAAGATAAGAATACAAAAACAAATATTAACTAGGTAAGTCATTACTAGTGATCACAAGCTAATAAAACTAATATAGATATAACTAAACAAAACTAAGCACATCTCCTTGCAAGAATCCATTTTTTAAATGTCAACTGAGTAGACATAGTATCTTTTATTAGAAGAAGTGATCACTCTACCATTCTCCACTTCCATACTGTTATGGTACCTGCCAGGGCCATCTTTTTATAATTGGATGATGGATGCTTTAGCATTAATCCTCCCATTTAAAAGGTACAAATAACCATATTGGTAATTTGTTCTTTTTAGTAATCTTGTACATCTGTAATTAATTTCTTTGTAAATATTATATTTTAATCTGAAATGACTTAATTTATCTGTTCTTTAAAAAAAAAACTTGAATAGGACTGTTCTTGAATGGATTAATTTTTTTGTAAATTAATATTATTCCCACTCATCATTTAAGCTTAAGCTTCAGTGCTGTTATGTAATCATATTATTATAGGAAATACATTTATATTAAGCAAATGTTTCAGCCAGTCTAGGATGTGTGGTTTGTGTGTATTATAGTTGAGTAACTGATCAACAAACTCAGTTTTATCACCACAATGCTGTAAGCAAAACTATACACGAGCACTGTGATAGCAATACTTGCTATGTTATAGTCAGATTTCAGCAGTTACATAAATCTGTAATCAATAGGAACAACTATCTCAATATTTAAGTCTTAGATTTTCAAACTTAAGAATAATAAAATAGGCTCTGGTAATTTACCTCAAGTTCCTGTGATCTTTACTCAAAGTACATCAGAGTACTTAACATATTAAAATATGTTATTTAAATGTGTTTTTGAAATTTTTTAAAAATAACGAGTAAAGATGTGCCTTAACATAGTGAATGAATTCTTAAGAAAAAAGATTTCAACCCTTTTGCTGTGACTTAATAATGGTTGCCAGAAAAAAAACGAGTTGTCCTCTTCTGCAATACGCTACTTTTGCCTAGAAATGTTTTCGAATTCTTATGTCTAACTAGGCCAGTATTCATCAAGCATTTATGTAATCATTTAAGAAATTTCTACCTCATTCCTCAATCATGGCAACTTTGTTTACATTTATAAACTATTTAATGAGCTCCTAAAAGTATTACTAGATTGTTTATCACAGCCCAAGGTTAAGGTCCAAACCTCAACCTATTTATGAAATGTAAATAAAGTTACCATGAATAAGGAAAAATGTACAGGTTTCATAAGTGATTACACAAATGCTTACCGAATCCTAGCCTAGGTCACACTTTTTTTAAATTTAAAAAAATTACCTCTGTCAAACCTCCCCATACTCACATAGTAAATATTTCTACCAATGTTTTGATATAATATATTGTACCTAATTGTTTTGTACAGTACATATAAAACTGATATATATATATCCTGTAGTATGTTTCTAACTTAAAAGATTTGTTTTTGGTTTTTTAATGTTTCACTTGTTATTACATTTACTTATTGAGTAGTAGCACACGAACAAAAATCTTTCTAATTTGTTAAACAAATAAAAGTACAGTAGAATAAAGTTCACAATTATATACTGACCTGAATTTACCCAAGGGCAACTAACACTAGTGGCCTCAATAAGGACATGAAGCTGGCAGCTTGTCAAATATCCCCCAATTGCTATGATGATTTTTTCCAGCTGGATTTTAAAATTCATCAGTTGTGGCATTTATGGCTTCTGTGGGTAGGTGGTCATGGGTTTTAATTCTGTGGGTTAAAAAACATATCCTGTTTTCAGTCCTACACTGAGGCTTGTTGAGCTTGCAACCGTTGGTCCTTCTTGGTGCTACATCTGACCTTTTGAAGAAGTCTGAATTAACATCCTCCAAATTGTTCAATACTTTAAAAGTTTCAATGATATCAGCCCTGTCATGCCTGGTTTGAAGTGTTGTTAGCCATGTGGCCCTCAACCTTTCCTGGTATGAGAGCTGATTTAGTTCTGGAATGATTTTTGTGGCCTAGTGTTAAACTTTCTCCAGTACAGCTGTCTTTCTGAAGATGAGGTCTCCGTGCTTGGATACAATAATCCAAATGAGGTGCACCAGAGATTTATACAGTTGAATAACTACCTTCTATTCCCTTAAAGTCAAACGTGCATTTGATTGTTTGTAAGATCTGATTAGCTTTTCTTGTACTGCCACTCCCACTTGTGCAACTTTCAGTGAATGATGGATTCTGACTCCAAGGTGCTTTTCTTCATCAATATGCTGTAAGGTAATACTGTTAATCTGGTAGTTGTGACCTGGGTTATGCCTCACATGCAAGGACTTGCATGTTTTCAACATTAAAAAGCATTTGCCAGTCTTCTGACCATTTGTGGAGTTGATGTAAATCTCTTTGTAAGGTCTCAATATTATTTTCACTCCACTTTACCACAAATTTTAGTGTCATCTGTGAATTTGATGTGTGGTTTGTAATATTGGCATCCATTTTATTTATGTATATGACAAAAAGTGTTGGCCCTAAGCATTGTTTTATCCATTCTAGTACTCTTCTATTTATTCCATTTGCCTGTAATTTCTTTGCTAGTCTTTCATGTGGTACCTTGTCAAAACAAAGTCCATCTACTGGAAGCCCTTTATTTGATTAGCTGGTTACCATTTCAAAAAATGTAAGCAGGCTTGTAGGCAGGACCAATTTTTAACAAACCCATGTTGCGCCAATTTTACAAGATTGTTTGCTGAAAAGTGGACAATGATTTGCTCGCTTAGTATTCTCTCCACGAGCTGCAGCTGTATTCACCTAGTTGTACTTTCGGGGGTTGAGCTCTGCTGTTTCGGCCCACCACTCAACTGTCAATCAGATGTGTGATGTCAAGCTAACTGGAAAGTACTTTTCTGCCCAGCTCATTTTTTCTTCCTCAAAATATGGGTGACATTTTCCTATTTCCAATCTAGGGGAACTATCCAATGGTCCAGAGATTTTCTGAAAAGGTTTTTCAGTGGTAGGCATAGTTCATCTGAATTTGTAACTTTGGATTGAACTCCATCCACACCTGGGGGTTTTGAGTCTTTTTAGTGTGTCATTGCTCTTCCTGATTATGTCGCACTTTATGGGTATATCCCTTAATTCATCCTCTTCACATCCTTCAAACATTTGTGTGGGTAATGGGGTAATAATCTAATCTTTCTAGTATGACACACGGATGTAAAGTATTCAGTGTTTGCTGCCCTTTTATTGACCATTATACATTTATTAGTCTCATATTTTAAGGGTTCTACTGAGTCTTTTGCTTTGATTTTACTTCTTATATAGGGATAGAATGACTTTCAAAGTTTCTTTATGATTTGGGCAAGTTTTCTTTCATAGTTTCTTTTTGACTGATCTAATTTCTTGGGATGCTGTACTTAAATTCCTTCTAAAGAGGTTGTGCTAATTTATCAAAGCTCTTTTTACTACCTGTGTCATCCATCTGGATCCCTTTCTTTCTCCTTTTTTGACATTTATTTTTGAATGCGTTCAGTCATGACCTTGAAATTTTTCATGATGTTCCTCTTCCTCTCTCATTTGATGATAAGTGACTTTGAGGGTAATGTAGAAAATCATAATGGACCTTTATGTGGGTTTCTATAATTGTAATCCAGGTTAGATTATAGTAATCACACAAAGGGGCGAGTTTTTCCCCATCTGAATTTGATCAATCATGCTCTCTTCAGGTGTTGAAGTCCAACATTTAGAATGCTGTTATCTCACGTGGGCCCTGCTACTTGCTGTATGAGAATGGAGTCCTGTATCAGGTCAAGAAATTATTGTTCTGCCTGTGATGCTTGATTTACCTAATCAAACCATTTACCCAGTCTTGTAGTTAAAGTCCCCCCCCCCCCCCACTCCATTATAAGGGTTTGGGTTTCAGATGCTGCATTGATCACATTATACAAGTCAGCAATTCCTCTGCTGCTGCCATGTCAGCCCTGTAGCATACTTCCCTTGTCAGTTTGCTACCATCTTGAGGTAGTATGTTGCACCATCCAGACTGAGGATCCCATGGCATTCAATTCCTGATCGGTGGATGCACTCGGTTCTCTTTCACATAGCATTACACCATGTGCTCTTGTTTTTCTGTCCTTTCTGAATGGTGGATGGTATCCCGGGAGAGGGAGTTCCTCTTCTATAATGTCCTCTATGCCCCCAGGTTTTACCTATGGCAATGATGTTGGGATTCTCAGCCTCAGCTTATGCATGTAATGGGTCAAAT